AATGTTGTTAATGAATAATATAATTTTTGAATAATATATATTTTTAAAAAAATTTCATCTAATAAATTAAAATTTTAAATTGAAATGATTATTTGATGAGTTTGGTTTAAATGTTGTTAATGAATAATATAATTTTTGAATAATATATATTTTTAAAAAAATTTCATCTAATAAATTAAAATTTTAAATTGAAATGATTATTTAATGATTTCGGTTCAAATTTCTTCTTAGTCACTCTCTCAATCATTGATTGCACAGTGGCCATATTGGATAGGATATGCTCGGAAACAATGTGCATCAGACATCATCACCTCCAAAATCTCCAGCAGCGTCACCATCAGTAAATTGTTTAAGTGTTGCATTTAACATGGTTTAGAGTTTTTATAATCAAGTAATTAAGAGTTTAAATTTTTTTTTTTAAAATAAAGTTAAAGCACATGTTAATAATAAATGTAAATTTTAAATTTAAAAAATTATCACAAAAAAAATAGTTAAAAAAATAATATAAAACTATTTTTAAAACACGATCTAACTTTATTGAATTGAAATAATTATGAAATAACTTTCATCGTCATGATTCATTCGTCGCTTTATGTTATTGTTGATCTCAGGCCTCATGCCTTTTCAAACAATGGCCATGATGTGTTCGTAAACTGCTAAAGAATACTAGCACGTTTATAATTACCTGTATAAACATGACAGGACCAGCTAGAGTTATTTTTAATTAATTAGACATTTAATGGCCAAAAAGTCTGATCTTAAAGATTTGAGATCGCCGACATATCAATTGTTCAGATTGACAATTCAATTCTAATGTCATCTAAAACATTTATGCTTTGCAATGATTGCAGAGTAATATTATATTCCTAAGATAATGTAAGGATTAAAACAATTTTCGGTCACCTCATCACAGCTCCTCTCTATAAGAGAACGCCTTGGACTTCAATTCTTGAAGGCAAGCCAGAGTGGCAAGAAAGCAGGAAAAATGGTGCCTTCAAGATCTTCCATACTTTCAATACTTGTGGCCCTACTCCTATCTCCATTAATAGTTTCACTTCCAATTCAGGATAGGTTTCTAAAATGTCTCTCAAAATATTCAGATACATCCTTTCCTTTTTCCACTGTCTTGTATACTCCACAAAACTCTTCTTTCACTAGTGTCTTGCAATCTTATGCTCAAAACCTCAGGTTCACCTTGCCTTCAGTACCGAAACCCGAGTTTATCTTCACTCCTTTACAAGAATCTCACATCCAAGCTGTTGTTATTTGCTCTAAGCAGCTTGAGATCCACCTTAGAGTCCGTAGCGGAGGGCATGATTATGAGGGACTCTCTTATGTTTCAGAAATCGAGAAACCTTTCATTGTTGTAGACCTTGCAAAGCTACGGTCCATCAGCGTTGATATTGAGCACAACAGCGCGTGGGTTCAGGTGGGTGCCACGAATGGTGAACTTTACTACAGAATTTCTGAGAAAAGCAAAACCCATGGCTTCCCAGCTGGTAGTTGCTCAACTTTAGGTATGGGCGGGCACATTTCAGGAGGTGGATATGGTGCCATGTTGCGAAAATATGGCCTTGGAGCGGACAACGTCGTTGATGCACATCTAATTGATGTTCATGGTAGACTTCTCAACCGAAAACTCATGGGAGAAGATCTTTTCTGGGCCATCAGAGGAGGTGCAGGGGGGAGCTTCGGAATTGCCACCGCCTGGAAGGTAAAA